ACAGATTTGACTATTACTCTGTGATTCTTACTTTTTTTTAATAAATATATATTTTCAGATTATTACATCTCGCAGAGAAAATTGGCGCCAAGATGCAAATAATAGTTTTGACTATTACTCTGTGTTTCTTTTTTTTTGTTAAATATGTTCAGTACAATTTCAATTTTACTATTTGTAGGTACTAAAAATGGACAATAAGCCAATACAGCATACTTAATGGAAAGCGATGATCACCGTCTATAGACATGAACAGTACCCTGAACATTACAAAATACTGTGTAACGCCCACTGTATGCATCCCTCGTGCGTTATGATATCTGGGATTTAAAAGATTTGGTTCTTTCATACCCTGTAATTTCACTATCACATAATACGATAGTATCGTAAACAATAGTTTCTTGCTCGTTCTTATCAATTAATAGTTATTTCAAAATAATTATAATAAAAATATACTTAAAATATTCTTAATATTCAAGTTGGTGTTAGTGTGCTTATACCGACATTCACAAATTATTTCTCGAAAGTTCTAATGAACAAAAAAACAGCTTTCACGCGACCGAAACTACTGTAAAAAAGATATAAATATACCAGTACTGTGTACTGTAGTAATAATACCGTAAGCACTTTAAATTTAAATGCACTTGCCGCCCGGTTTCTTTCGTCTTTTGATCTGTCACAGCGTATCTCACGACTCGTTGGGCAGGGGCCTTTGGGTCTCATGCTCCGCCCTCCTTAAAAAAATATTTTTAATAGAATTCGAAATTCGAATGGAACATGTCAGATAGCTTAGAACCACTTTACACTACATTATTCAAGTATATACACTGCCTTTATATTGACGAAACTGAAAACTGGATATATACAACTATCTTCAAATACCAACACAATAAAATAAATTAATACTGATAGTACGATAAAAAACTGTTCATAACATGCTTCTGTCTAAAATATTTAATAAATTTCTATACATATTATGACAGGTTTAGCTGCTTTATATTCTAAAATTTCCAAAATCGATGAACTGGTTGCATAGAACTCAAACAGTTTTTAAAGTGATGCGAGCTTATAGACAATGATAGCTTGAAGATACGAGATCTAGAAAACAATTTTGCGCTTAACGATGAGAAAACCAAAACAAAAAATATATTTTAAAATTAAGTTCTTAAAAAATTAAATGTTTTTGTTGAAGAAAAAAAAAACATTTTATCCAGATGTTACTGATATAACCGTATAGATACCGATGTATCGAGTAATGTGGTGGTAGATTACAAATAAATTTATTACGCCGCGTTTTATAGCTCCTAGTGGAAGGACCAAACCCGAAACCCACAATGTACACTCCGAGCATGAATGCTTTCAATACTTCGCTCCGTGGGGACATAAAACGTAGAACCTATAAATAAAATAGTACCTTTACCAAGGTCTTTCTGTCACGTGACTGTACTGTACGACTCGCACTTTGTAGGGCTGTCAATTTTTTCTGTGAATCGTGAGGCTGTGTATTTTGACATGGACAGGAGAATTGTTATTTTTTTATTTATAGCGAAGCATACTTTCTGACAAAATATAAAGGAAACCTTCTTTTAATGAGTAAATTTGCGCTATCGGTATACACTGGCGAGGTATCAGTGAGTGATAATAGACAAAAATGAAACCAGGACCATCATAATGTATTTACCTGAAATTAATAATGACGGTTTCTAGGCAGAATTGCGTGAAGTTCGACTTGATATAGTAAATTGCTAACTATGTGACCGCTAGTCCTTATTACTAATAATCCCATCCTCAACTTTTGGAAACCAATATTCAGCGATGAACAACCCTGTTCATCGCTAAATACTGGTTTCCAAGAGTAGGTAGGTACCTCTACTAATGATATACAATAGCTGGGAATCAGTGAAGCATGAAACGGTGAGGATTGACGGTAGGTCAGTCAGGAAATTATAATAAATTCAGTAGAAATTAATCACAATTGTTTCCAAGGCGGATTTTGTGGAGGTGTGAGAGATCTAATGCCATGAGAATTAAAAATCCTGATGATGAGATGATTCACAAAAATTCATCCACATCTTAGCCACAGTGATATTTAAAAAATAAGCTTACGACTAGTCCCTGATGAGGTTGGCATATATTGAATATTATCATATGGTGAACTCACTCGATACTCGATAATATATAAATATTATATTTATATTTTCTTGTCTTGACAACCCTATCCGTAGCTAAGGTCAAATTCATACAAGTTGCTTGCTCACTAGTCACGTATGTTCTTCTATCTAATTTAGTCCTCATGAGTTAAGGCTACGTTAACACTTTGTGTACATGACTTTCACACAAACTTTTCTATCATCAACCTTTTTAAGCTACTTTAAAAGCTAGAGGTTCTCTTTCTGTGTATGTTATGCGATAACTTGGTCAATACCGAACCGATTTTGATAATTCTTTTTACAATCTGTCGTGTCGTTAACTTCTTTATAAAATTGTCAACATTACGTTTGTATTCCAATACATTCTCCTTGATTATCTCCTTTTTTTAAGAATGTTACTATTTTTGTCTATCTGTGTGTGCTGTGTTGTATTTTACAGCATTCTGCAAAAACTACTGCACCAATTGGGATGCGAATTTCACAGCTATGTTTCTGAAGATCTAACTTAAAATCATTTGTAGATATGTTTTATCTTGATACAATTTCAACAGCTTTAAGGATATTTTCAGAACGCTAGACTGGAAAATTTGTGGTAATAATATTTACTGAGTTCAGGCTACATATAATATTTATGATTTATATATTATTATTTATCAAATCCAAAGTTGACACTCCTTTCTATTTTGAAGGGAAGCCAAAAAGGAACCTTTTTGGCTTCCCTTCACGGCCCTAATTTTGTAATTTTTTTCTTATAATATACATACATTTTCCAATTTTCATTCCTAGTTTCCTTTGTCGCTCATAATATTAATGGAAAGCACATTCTTCACTTAAGGTTTACAGGCATCATTGTCTATAGCAGATGCTGAACAGTCTAACCAACTAATCTCAACGCATCCATCTTCATCCAAGGACAAGAATTAAGACAAAACTAAGATAATGTTTCACGATCAGCATGGACATGTATTATTCATTCGATGAAGATAAATAATAAACGCGAATCAGCAAGTGTAGTGTAGGACGACCTCTGACTAGGTAGACGACATTCATAGTTATGGGTAATAACTGAAAATGAAGCGCTGAAGATTGTGCTCAGTGGCGTACCTTGGAAGAGTCCTATATCTAGCAGTGGATTAAAGTAACTGTAAAGGTAGTCGATAACATTGATTTTCCTTCTTCCAAAATATACTCGTACAAAGTTGCGAACAAAAGTTAACAATACACAAAGGTAGAGAAACGATATCGCAATATAATTATAGCAAAGAAATAATAATATTACGCTCCAATAATCTCGGGAACATTCCGCGCAGTCTGTCAACATAACGCGAAGGGATTAGCTCGAACTGAAAGGATTCCGAGTATTTCCCCTTGAATTTTATATTTGATCGAACGTCCAATCTTCAAATTTTTCCCTCGATTGATCGGAGAAATTGCTGCGGCAGACAAATTATTTTGTAGAAAATTATATGGTGCTCCACAGAGCAAAGTAATCACTACGTTATTTAAGAGTTGACGAAACAGGAAAATTAATCTATGCAACCTAGTATTGACACAATAAAGAAAATTAATATAGTATTGTACAACTGTTTATATGCCTCTATCGATATCGATAGGTTTAAAGACTTATCTTTATAATATTAAGTATTCAATTTTCACTGAACTGGTTGCATAGATTTCATAGAATTTATTTTTTGTACTAAGTGGCGTGAATTTGTACTGTTATATGAAATGATTTCTAAGCGCTCGTTTTTTTAATGTTTATATTTTCTTTCAACTTGGAATGGCAAACAAGCTGACGCTTCATGCAGAATAGAAAAACTGAGTAAACGCCGTGATTCTTGTAATATTTATCGTAATAAATTCGTCATGATTGGCCAAGTGACCTGGCCTCATCTTCGCCTATTACCCTCGCCGATACACCGCTAGTATATACCAGTTAACATTCTATTTTAATGCATAAAAATATGCTAGAACCGTGTCATCCTGGCATAAAATGGCCCACCCCATCCTTTCCCGTAGATGTCGTAAGAGGCGACTAAGCAAACTTCATGATCGAGAGATGGACAGCAGCGCCTGTCTTAAAACACCAAAGCCACAATACGGTTACCAACCCGCCTGCCAAAAATGGCAACTATTGGCAACATCCTCAATAGACAGACATCTATATTAAGCAGTGGACAGTTCACAGCTGGTGTGGTATTTGTAGAACCAATTTAGGTAAAGAACTTTTTTAAATTGTTTCAGCTCTAGATGTTCTGGGTTCCCCTAAAAGTTAATTTCCCAGTTCCTTACAATACATGGTATCCTAGTTAGAAGACTAGGCAATTAGTGTGATTATCTGTAAAAGATCGCCCTAGCGATAAGACCGCCTTTTGTACCCTTTATGTGTATATTTCAATCTGTATTTATATTACTGTATTTCACTTGAATTATTCAATTGTCATTGTATATTTTTGTTTATGGTGCAATAGTGTTTAAATAAATAAATAAATAATTATGTTACTTAATATTATAATGAAATCATGTTTTATGCAATCGCCTTGGCTGTTTTATTCATATATTTAATATGATAGTACAACGTTATTACAGCTTTAATATTGGAGCTTCTAAATATTATTATATACCGTACATTATCTCGTTATAAATTTCCCTCCATCTGAGGGACTAGCTTCGATTGTACGCATCGCTGGTCTTTTACGCACTCACAGCGGAATTAATTTTATTAAAACACTACAGGATTATCTGTAATCTACCTTATACTAGACGATTTAAGGTCTACACTCTAACAATCTAGCGTGTCGTAGCTTTTCCATACGAATCATAAAATTAAAGCGGCACAATGAAAACTCCAAATATTTTTATATATCGTTTATTTGGTATACGAGTTTCCATAAACACATTGTGAATTAATATATGGTTTCTGTACATTCAATATCAAATTAAACAATAATGTATATTAATAAATGTAAATATATATGATTTATTATGTATTTGGCACCATGATGCGACACATAGTGCCGTTGTGGACGCTACAAAACTTACCAAGTGATTTAATACAGTTGAATTCCAGCATTACACAGTCAACGTGCTTGCCAGTTGCGATATTAAAAAAAAAAAAAAGATAAAGAACAGATAAAAAATGCAAATTACTTTTTTTTTCATCAAGTTTCCGAATTTTGCAAATTGGAAATACGATACAAAGAGGCAGTTTAATAATTTCAAATTCTTTTATATTTAACTTCATTCCATTTAAAATGGTCGGAGGAACAATTAGAATAATTGTAAAGTTACAACCACGTGTAATCTTTCACGACTGATTACTTATTCATTCTGTTTTAAGGAACTGATATTAAAATATACCTCATTATGGCTATATTTCCTGTATTAATAATTAAACAAAATGGATAATAGGTACGCAATATAATTTTCATTAAATAATAATATATTTGGCGTGGAAATGAAAATAAATTTGCTTTGGAAAAATATTTAAAGTTAATACATAATTTTTTGGTCTCAAAATTCGACTGTAAAAAATGTAATTTCCTTTGTTTTTTGTGCAACTTAGAATGGCATCAATGATCTGGTAACTCAGCTGATGGGAAGAAAAAAAAATTGATATATTTTTAAAATAAATCAGTTGCAATGACCAGAACAGACTAGACGGTGGATGGATAGTAGTTACCGTCGCCTGTAAACATGAACATGGAATATCACAGAATATATTGTTATACTCGTGGTCATTATACCACTCATGCAATTGCCTTTTATAATTACTTACAAATTACACCTCCATATCCTGTAATTTCATCCATACCAAAATTCAAATTAAAACAGCTGCTTGACATTTTTATACAACTTTTATACAACTTAGAATGGCAAACAAGCTGACGGCCCACCTGATGGAAAGTGGTAACCGTCGCCTATAGACGTGAGCAGTACCATGGACATAACAGAGTATACTGTTTCGCCCATGATACTCCCCATGCGTTGCCATTCCTGAGGACTCAGGTGTTATTCCTCTGTACCCAGTAAATTTGACATAGGATTGGGATATTAGTATCAATACAGATAACCTATCCATAGTCTGTCTGTCTTTGAATACAGTTGGAAGATTTATTCCAATAAATGCTAATTGATTAATGATATAAATAATTAAAAAAAATAAAAATTATAAACTATTTAATATTGTTTGTAGGTTAGAAAATACTGGCAAACAAATTGGCTACGAAATACCAATGTTACATACAGTATCGTTCAATTAAATTTATACGAGGTGCGGGGGCCGCGGAGCATTCAATCGAAGTGTAAGGAAAAACAAAGTGAAAATCTTTTTTATTGTATAGAAAATAAACTTGATAAAGCAATAAAGAATTCTATACATAATAAATAATATAATACAGTTACTATATTAATTTTACTCATATCTGCACTATTTAAAATACGTAAAAGTGCAGCTAGTGACATTATTTGTAAAAACAAAGTTAAAAATTACTCTGTTAATAAAACAGAATTTATAGTTACTTACGTTGTTAATTAAACTCATGTAAATAGAATTGAAGAGCGTATGTCTGTTAAAAATGAAGTCAAGATTCAAAAACATATTCAAAAAATTTATTATTTGAAATTTTACTGTAATAAATATGTTACTATCAAATAAATAAAAGACTTCATTGTTTTTACTTACACTGAGCTAAATGTGAATATTAGGCAAACAACCCTCTACAGATATATGTATTTAATAGAATAAACAAGTTTAGAAATGTCTTGTTTTACTCCTTTTATTGATATATCTCTTTAAATTAAAAACTACGAACGAATCTTAATTCAAAGAATAAGAAGAACAAGATAGCATAGATCTAGAATATGATTTAGAAGTTGAAGAATGATAATGATAAAGTTATTCGTTCAAAACTCGCAGTACTACAATTATGAATACACATATAATTATGTATCGAGATGATATAAGAGAAATTCAAGGTATTTAATGAGAGAGATGAAGGTTATAAGGAAATGAAACATGATATTGGATAAACCATCTGAGGCTTTTGAAATTAATGTAAAGAAGAGGGAATTTCAAAGATTTTTTTTTTTTTATCTAATATAATTTGATGAGAAAGGTCAGGGATGAAAACGCTGGTTAGTCAGAGGGATCTACATAGCTCCTTATTTATCTAAGAATTCCGCATTGGACGGATTATTACTTCCACGTATCCAGGTACTTAAACGAAATTATGTTAATACAACACTTTCATGAAAAATCATTGCACAATTGACCATAATACGTTCAGATATACAAAAATACATCTCACTACAATCTAGTTAAACTAACATTTTATGGTTAAATTCTCGTGATAAACTCTCGGCCCGCGACGCGCCCGCGCCCCCCCCCCCTCTGATATCACAATTCTTAACAACAATGACAATTCTTCATGCGTTCCCATAAACCGTTGTCATCACAATATAAAAGACATGTATGTAAAAAGTTGTTAGTACTTTTAATTTCACGTGCACTTCGAACATAATTTGAAAGCAATTTTTATTTTTGCTTTTCTATTATCTCGTTTTATTTTCTATTGATGTGAATCGTCACGATAAAATCGTATTATGGCATTTGGCCATAAAATATCAAAACTCCCATTGTCTTCACGATGGATTTCTATTTTATTATGCAACTTTATTATCAGCAGAATTGAATCTCACAATTTGATATGACAATAAAATTTGGTAATAGTTATTGTTCTATTAATTTAATACACCTCAATATTTATACCGTTGCACGTATAGAAATTTGATAGTTACTTTTAACTTGTGCACGTATTTGATAATTTCAAATTGATTTACGGAAACGCACAACTTTACACTGCTAATATAAAACTACAGAAAACAGGAGATGAAGTCAAAGTAGATGATGATAAACAAACAAAACACAATCTAATAGAGAAACTAACCACCGATAACATTTCAACATCAAACATTAGATAAAATTTACACTTATACACTAAAAAGATTGTTGCAAAAATTGTGGTAGCAAATTTCATTTATACAAAACACTGCCCGATCTAAACGAGCGTCTACAATTGACATCAAAATTTACATGATCCAGTTTTAAGCTATGATACATAATGTTATTTTTTACTTTATTCATTAAGAATTTGACATCTATATATAAAATATATGCTAGTTTGGATTTCATTTCGGTATTCATATTTAAACAATGATGTCTTTTAAAATTATCATCTCGAGATGATAATAAAATATCCTGATATAAAAATTTATTGATATACTAGTAGACTTGTTTATTTTAAAACATGTAGGAACGCCACGCGTGAACATATTGCTACATCTATAGTTTAGTATACAGAATCTAAATGGTTCCGTACATAAGTATTATTCAAATATGAACACCGCAATCGGTTGCATTAACAGTGGCATTGGAACCATCCAAACTCACATTTTTTTTTATTATATAATACTAATTTTCAATTGGTGTTCACATTACACAAATTTTCACATATCAATACGTTATTAAATTAAAATTCCTTTTTAATCCAATATAATAAAAATCTATTTTAAAATATCAACAATTTGGCACGATCGCTTCCTGTTTTCTTAAATATTCACTATAAAATAAATAACAAGAAAAAATGGAATATTAGGGAAATTAATAGAAGGACAGGAGAATATGTTCGCTGCGATTTTCAAAATTACATGAATTGAATAGAAATAGACATAATTATTCCTTTTTAAAGTAGTGTTCTCTATCAAAACTGAACATTTTTACTATCACTAGGATGGTTTGTCCAGCGGTCGACTCGGTATAGAAAGATCTAAAAATTTGAGCAGATCCTTAAAAAAAATGTTCAATTTCATAAATAGAACATTTTCTTAAAATGAAGCTAATTATTTAGATTTCATGCTCTATACAAAACAAAACATTGAAATAAGATTTAAAAATATCTGTTACATTACTTGAAAATAGTTTACAGTACTATGAAATTACAATTTTAATTATTAAATTATTCATATTATTAATATTACCAACTGTCTTACATTTCTTATTAATAATACATTTATAAATATAAATGGTTGTTTACATACTATAATTACTGTATCAGCATTGGTAACATCGCAACGAACAATGCACTATTAAGAGATAGGCAGGTATACTAGTATAACAAATTACAGTAGAATAGGTACTACGAAGACTAAAGTACAGACGGACAGACGGGCTGTCCAAAATATTAAGAGTCTAACGACGTAGCTGATTGATATAGACACTTGATTAAATAAAAATATAAACACCAGACAGTATATAGAGGATGATGTTACGGTAATCACGTAAAAACTTTAATTCATATGTTGGAAAAAATTAAACATAATATATTTAATTAAGTAACAATCTTAGAGTAAGAAAAAGGTATAAAAACAAATGTTATGTCGAATTGTTATTACTGTAATACTGATTTTATTCATTTTTTAATAAGTGGTATAAATAAACATGTCAAGAATAAAAAATAAAATAATAATAAATGCAAATTAAAATTTTGCAATTAAAAATAAAATTTTACATTTAGCAAATTCTAAACTTATTTCCAGCGATACCTTTTTGTTATAAAATTTTGTTTATGACTTTGATGCAAATGTGTTGTAAGAAGTAACTTATTATACATAAATATAGTAAAAATCTATTATTGATGATGGTATCGGTAACGATACAGAAAAACTTGAATAAAACATCCTCTTTATACTAAATGATGAAGCGTCTCAATCAGCAGACAGTGGGAATTCGTTAATCAATCGTTGTAAGCGAATACGACTCACCGACAATGTTCAATTGAAACCATCGCGTGATCACGACCGCTCAACGGAGCAACAGTGCAGATAGAAGAAGAAGTAATTGAGGGCGGGCCGATGCAGCGTCATCGTGTAGCGCTCGTACTGTATGCCTGGCAGGCGCTGGCGATGGTGGTGGTGCTCGTCGGGGGAACACAGCGACGGCGCCGGCTCCTGTCGTCGCAGCTACACACCAGACTTCATCTGGTTCGGCCACGTGCAGTACTGCCCTCCAGCAGTGTTGAGCTAGATCTGGATTAAGAGACGCCCGAGTTGCCACGCCGGCTCGAAGCCAAACCACGCGGACTCCTCTGCCGCATGCACCACATTCGAGACGCCAGCCGCCTGCTGCTGGCTCTGCACTTAAGGCTGTAGCAGTGGCTCCACCTACATTGTGAATGTTTTTAAGCTACTTAACTTTCCTTAATTTTCTTGCGTAGATATTGTAACTTTTATATCATGATATATCATGCCATATATCAGAATTCTACACTAAGGCAAACTTAAATTTTTTTCTCAATTAAAATTTGGATTTCTTTTATTTCTATCGCCTTTTGGATCTTTCGTGAATAGTTGTATGTATGTATGTATATATATATATATATATATATATATATATATATATATATATATATATATATATATATATATATATATATATATATATATATATATATATATATATATATATATATATATATATATATATATATATATATATATATATATATATATATATATATATAATGCCTACAACAAATACAGCTCACCCGTTACTCTTAAAGTGACCCTTTTCAGCTCCCTCAGCCGCTTGAGGTCAGGTGCACGGGTACCGACACATCGATACTCGCCTCCCTCTTGATAAAGGGCATCTTTTATACCTGAGAACAATAGGTTGCTTACAAATAAAAAAGTATTTTAACCGAACTTTTCAAAGTTAGCTCGGTTCTGGATTGTACACAAACATGATTGCATGTTTTATTTTATTTTCAGTTTTATGTTCTTGCTCTTCATCTGTTACTTTATTCTCTTAAAGTAATAAAAGTAGTAAATAAATCAACGAATACATACATACATATGTCACGCCTGTCTCCCATTAGGGTAGGCAGAAACAATGGAACGCCAAATGCTTCGATTCAAACGATCAACAAATACTATTAACATTTACAGCTAATCATTTATAGGAGCCTTTCCCAAAGTAAGCGATAACGTCCCCTTGTAGACGCTGCAGGCCTAAAGAGGGCAGTAGGAGACCCAGAAAAAAATGGGAGCATTCTGTAGAGGCTTGGGGGGTGATTTGTAATTTGAAGTAATGGTGGTTTTTAAGTAGGTGAAAAAATAAGGGCGCTAAAAAATAATTTCTTCTCAAAGTGGGCAGTAGACAAAATAAATTTGGGAACCCCTGATTTATAGTCATATCAGATTTTACCCACGTCTTCGTCCACTTGACCAGATTCACTAATTGGGATAGAAAGTATAGCCTATAATCTTTTCTATCCCATATAGTACAAGTATACTAAATTTCATATTAATTGGTTAAACCAGTGAGACACTAACTTTCACACTTATCATTAATAAGGCTATTTCAAATCTTTTTCTATTTATTTAAAGTTCGAATTTTGTTTTTATCGATTGATTAAATATTAAAATATACTTACCTAATACACCGTGAGCATGCTGTGACCCAGCAGGCGCCCAAGTCTCACTTGAGTTGCCCACCACACGTCTCCACCAGCACCCTACACTGCCTGCACAAACACCATTAATATTCTACGATGATTTTAAAGAAAGTTCTAAATTCAAGACAACCTTTATATTTTTTAAGGAACTTGAAACGATTTTTTTTTATTAAGTTGGTAACCGTCGCTTAAAGACATGAAAATAAACACGGATTTCGCAAAATTTGATGAGAACTCCATGGTATCTCATGCGTTGCCATTTCTGAAAAGTAAGGTGTTACGCTTCCATATTTAGTCATGTAACTAGCATAGCCTTTCAAGCCTAGGCATAGTTCCAAGAAACACGAGTTGATAGAGTCTGTATAGATGACTTTTACACTAATAATAAATAATTATGTTGTTAAAACAGTTCTTTCTAAAACAAATAGAAGTCTAATATCATATTGGAAATAAATCTTTCAACTTCTATGAAATATTATTAAAATAAATTTAAAATATTCAACTTTTTTACTAAAATGACCTTTTTACATAAGTTCGACATATTTGCAATTTAAATTATAAAGTATTCAAGATAAATCACCTTTAGGGCAATGCAACTGTACATTTCCACCAAGAGGCACATCCACCTTCTGATGGTCAGGTTCTTCAGCATCAGCCTCTGCTTCCGTGGCCGTTTCTGAGTTTTCTTCAGCTGCTATCAACAATTTATATTCTGATTTAAAAGCGTTTAAAACTTTGTACATCTTAAAATGTATTTTACAATCTGATTTTTAATCTTATTCCTTACTAGCTTATTCCCAAAATTTCATTTGGATAATTTTCAAATATAAATTATTACACCAGAATTTTTTTGTTAATCGAGTCTATAACTACTTTTATCTCTATAAATACACTTATAATTTCAAAAATACTTATTCGTATACTGAAATAATCAATCTATATTTTACTATTTGTATACATTTGTAGACAAAGATACACACTCACCCAAAACATTAAGATAATATCCTATTGAGGAGTATTCAGCGTCAAGCCACGTCGCTCGACAGCGGTACCAGCCCGCGTGGGTGGCTCGCAACGTCGCCCACCGAAGTGTGGCTGATCCTCGGGCACTCTCATCACCAGCTTCTAATGGTGGCGGTGAACTGTCGTAAAGAAGATTAAGTTAAAATATCTTTTCTAAAAACACACTTGGAAATTATGGAATAAATTTTGAGGCATTAGTATTTTTATATGTTATTATACTAAAATACTTATACTGAAATATATGTTATTTTGCGGAAGTCCATATCATTAGTTATTTCATTAGGATTATTTGGCTTAATTCCGCTACCATTAGTATGGGTATGAATGCCAACATTCGAAGATTGATTACTATTATTACTACCAGAAGTTCTATAATTTCATATAAATTTAATGACCTGGTAGGATCGGCGTCGTCTCTTAACCACCAAGCTCTTGCAGGTGGATTGGCATCAACATCACACCTCAGAGCAGCAGCACCTCCAGCTGATAAGGATATACCAAACCCAGGCCACCGAGATATGACGAATGACGGAGGATCTACACAAAAGAATATATTGAAATTTTAAACCAATTTAAAGTCAAACATAATATTTAATAATATTCATTCTTTAATTGTTGTACCTCCAGGCAAGTTACTGGAACCAATTTTAGTACATAAAAATAAATATTTGTTACTTACAAGTTACATGTATTTCTAATTTAGCAGTGAGCGGATCAGATGCTGGTGTAGGATTTGCTGAGGCAAGAGTCAGTCTGGGACTCCTCTGTCGGGCTTCACATTGCAGTGTTGCATTGTGTAACTCTCTAGCTGCCGTTACAACTACGTGAGATGATGCCACACCCTCTGTTTGCAAACACAGGAAAAGAGAATAAATAGAATTTATTTATTTAAATATCTAAAGTAGGTATAATTAAAAATTATAATAGGTTTACACTGACAATATAGTAGGTAAAGAAGAAAAAATAAAGTAACTTCCCCGAAATATGCGCGACTAGAACAAGTAAATTTAAATTTGATAAATATTGAAATGGTAAACTACAAATTCGTTATTCAGTTATTCACAAAGTATTTTCATTTGATTTACCTATTGAATAATTAGTATGATAGATTCGCAGATAAGGACGGTGATCCAATGTTGGCTCTAAAGCAAGCAGCCTCCACGAGAGGTCAGGCGGCGGCACTCCACCTGAACAAAATACAGTAAAAGAATTAGATGATAAAAAATAAAGTAAAAATAATACAGTATTTAAACAAAATTGCTGGTATCCTCTGAAGAAAGTATTTTATCTGTGGTGAAACTGAATATATTTCTCAAATACAAAACAAAAACAAGTCGCAATCTAAAATTGTCCTAAAACTGTTGGAGTAATTTCAAATATTATATATTCCAACGATATCTTACCTTCCGCAACACATTTCACTTCAAGAACAGTCTTGTCTCTGACAGGCACCCAAGTATTGCCAGCATCTAGTCTTCTACCATCAACTGCCAGATACACAGACCGAACGGGTTCTGTTCAAAATTAATATTTAGTATTAGTTATTTAATCTACTACACTAGGCTAACCTATTATAAACAGATAGACTGTGTTCTCTATGAAGAAGGAGTGGGGAGTCTTCAAAACCAGCGTGCTGACATATGATGAGTTATTGAAGTAGATGTAGCAAAAGATGTATGTAAAGATAGAGGCCTGTAAGACTCTGTTATTACTGTTACTAATATCTATTGTATTACTATAAATTTACAATCATGGTGTAGTCGAAATAAAAAAAAAGTTTTAAAAATATTTTACCTGATAATTTGTTTACATGATAGAGATATTTGGACGAAATATATTTGACAAAATGTAGTTTTTTTCATCCCAAATACTACGTTCATGATAAATTTTATGACGATTGATTGCACATTAAAGCCATAAAAATGTTACGAACAAACCAACTTTCACATTAATAATATTTAATAAGAATAACAATAATTAAAGTCTCACCATATATAAGTAACCGTGTAGGTTTGCCAGATACAATTTTCCCAACTTTGTCCACTCCTGCGCATCTCCAAGCGCCAGCATCACCGCGTGTCGCTCTACCAACTACAAGAGTATCACCATCTTTCCACATAGCTTCACCACCCCCATTACCTGACGATGGCACGTTCATTTGCTAAAAAATGTTTTTGTGTTAATAGATAATATTATAATTAATATTGCATATCGTATTATAATTTGAGATTTTTTTTTTATTTCAATATTTTTTATGATAATTCATAAGATAAAATAAATAAACGAATCCAGTCGTCAGCCTCAAAAAAATATGTAGAAAAAAAGAACATTACAAGAAGCAAGACGAAGAGTCTTAAAGCTGAATAGGCTTAGGCACCAGTTTTGTATATTAATCAACCATTATCGATTGATAATTTGATTGTAGAGACATGTATATTTAGCAGGAAACAAAACTAAAAGTTGAAATGACGATGATGATGGTAACGATGATAATTATAATAATGATGATGATGAAAATGTATCTAATAATCACCTCATTATCCTTATACCAACGTAGATTGGTGACATTGATGAGATCGCACGAGATACGAGCACGGGAGTGTGCCTCTACTAATATCTCTCTCTCATTCTTTGGAACCTAAAAGTAAAAGAATATTTTAAAGCAATCTCAGAATTCCAAAGTATATGTAGATCCAAAAATTAAAAAAAAAACAAAGGAATTAAAATTTGGATGGTTTTGGTTTTAAAATAAAGATAAGAACAATTTTCATAGATCTATTTGATGATTTTTTTTAAAGAAAATACTAATTAAACAAAAATCATACTTCATCGTTAGTTTGTGTTTTGGAAGCGTTAGAAATCGCGCCTTTTTCTCACATCAAAGCCAGTGACCGTACTGAGTGAAATAAAACTTATTTTACGACCCTTACATAAATACCTGTATTTCATTAATTATATATTTTTTTTATTTTATTTATTTTATAATGACAAATTTTACATTACTATATTATACATTCGACACAATTTATGTAGAAAGTATGCAAGCAGGTCGTATCTGAATTTGGTAGGATTATACGGCCGTTATATATATATATATATATACATTTTCTATACACTAGTCTACTATGAATTGATAATTTTTCACTTTTTCTATGTAAATCCTTGTTCTTGGAATGAAGAATCCATAATGTATATATCTGTCTTGGTATGGCCTATATCGAAGTTGGAAATGACCTTTTTTGATGCAAATATCGGGCCTCGTTAAAATATATAGATATTGAAATATTGATTTTATTATATATTGAAAATAGAAATATATTAAAATTACAATATTACTGCAATCGCACCATAACTGATATTGCCTACACCATACAAGACAAAACATTACCTGGCTAATGGACGGTTGAGCTCGAGGCTGATCGTGGACAGGCATCCGATGGGCATGCTCTTGCGCTGGTCTGATCACAAACGTGTCGACTCTGGACGACGCGCGCGGACCGGGTGCTGCGCCCGCGTCGCCAATCGCGTCTCGAACAGCGCCTCGTATATTGAGAATTGTATCTCCGGTTTTTACACGGCGATTATTGCTTGGCTGTGTATAAAATATATTTATAAAAAAAAACAATTTTAAAATAAAAATTTAAAGGATTAACAGTTAAACTTTTATTCTGACGACTAAGAAGGCAAATATTATAATTAATTAAAACAAAAAAAAAAACATATTTGAAATAGTTTTCAATCAAAGTGTTTTTGTAGAAACAATAATACTTCTTTATAAATCAATTCAAATCTTTATTATTACTCAAATCAAGCATTTCTTTAATCAAATACTCCATGGAATTTCTTAGGGGTATTAGACCCCTTGAACTGATTCACTTAAAAGGTTATAGTACCTTGTAAAACTATAGAGCAATACATGCTGAATTCAAATAATCTTTCATGACATGCCAATAAAAAAAATCCTAACATACATACCTTGGAAGATCTATCCCATTCCTGTCCACTACTCCTTTTCATTCTTTCATCACTATCACTAGCTATTGAAACATCTACCTCCCCCCCACTTTGTACCTTAGTTTCATCATCAGTCTCAATATTACCCAAATCTTCGGGTGTTACTAGTATTCTGCTCTGTTCTATACTGGTCTCTAAGTCGTTATAGGAAAGTTCACTTTTGTCTTGTTCTTCGTAAGGATCGTCGGGGGTATCTTGAAGTGGGGGATAGAGGGGGGCGTCTCGTACTAGTTCAGCGGCGTCCACCTCGAGGTTGGGTGGCGCTGGAGCTGGTGATCGCTCGGAGCTACTCCATTCTGTGCCATCGCCAGGAGATAAGCCTGGAAAAAGGACTTTTATTAGTATTTTTATCCTTCATCAAAATAATTTCTTCCAGAGGGAGACTTTGTACAAAAGTCGTTTGCTCGAGGACCTCTGTCCCGTTCGTGTTTCAACCATAAAACAGTTGTGTTTGTGTTTGCATGGCTATGTTTCGGTTTGAAGGGTGGGATATGGCGTGAATGTACAGGGTACAGAGGAATAACACATGAGTCTTCAAGAATGATGACGCATGGGGGGTATCATGTGCGAAACAGTATACTCTGTTAAGTCCATGGTACTGCTCATGTCTATAGGCGACGGTTACCACTTTCCACCAGGTGGGCAGTCAGCTTGTTTGCCATTCTAATTATATAAAAAAAAGCTCATGGTCTAAGTCTAGTATTTCTATTTTATTAGAAGTAGTGAAGATGGGTCAGAACTGAAATGAAATAATGTCGAATTTCTTGTTTCATAGCCTACAATATAAAAAAACTTGGTGGAATAAAAGTCCCATTCGATTAAATTGTTTCTTAAATCTTATCGTATTACTGTTATTGGGTAATTACTGAGCATTACTATGAATAAGAATTTAGTATCCAATACTTTTGTGGCATTATTAAAAAATAGACCGTTGACTATTATATATTTTCCACTTTTTGCTCTGCTTTTGTTGCCCTATAATGTCTTAGTCATAAAGAAGTTGTTTCTTTTGATATATTTTTTTTTCTAATAACAAAATTGTTTCTATATTCACAAACAATATTATCCTGTAGAAATATAATAAATTTAAATTAACATCAACTACGGGAAGGTCCTCAACAAGTTTTCCAACGAATATAATTTTGTTAATATTCAAAATCATTCAATAATAAACCTTTTGCTGCAAAACATAAAGCACATCTGACAATGGCAATGGCCGTTTAAAATAACGTCCTATCTATAAATTTCCTGCGAAATACTTTTAAAAGAAAATACTCCATAATTGCAGGGCGCCGAAACAACTTGAAGTTCTAACTTGGACTGGAAATTAGAGACGAGCGTCCAAAAGGCAAACTTATTATAAAGTATATTGAATTATTTCTTAATAAACAGCAAATAAAGTGGCCAACTTTGCTCGGAGCGTCTCAGCTAAGTCTGATTACTGAACTCCGAATGGGACGTTACAATCGTTCGCATTTACGTATCTGATGCAAGCTCCAATAATTCTATTAAGAAGTTGATATTTGATAGAAATACACAAAGATCCTCGTCGCCGAAAATGTGTTCTTCCTGTTTTTTTTTTTTTTAATACAACCAAGTTTAAAACTACCTTCTTTTTGATGTCAACAAAAAATGTTTCGACATTTTCTATATAACAGCGATAGCACACAGGCATTTCACCAAACAATCAAATAATTTTAAAATGATGATGATTCAAAATGATTAAAATAATAAGAACAACACCTGAGTCCTCAGGAATGGCAACGCATGGGGGGTATCATGGGCGAAACAGTATACTCTGTTATGTCCACAGTACCGCTTATGTCTATAGGCTACGGTTACTACTTTCCATCAATTGGGCCGTCAGCTTGTTTGCCATTCTAAGTTGTATAAAAAAAATAAGAATAAGAAAGATGGCCAGTTTTTGTAAATATATGCAATTTATTGAATTAATGTATTTGCACATGATACCCCCCATGCGTTGCCATTCCTGAGGACTCAGGTGTTATTCCTCTGTACCCTGTAAATTCACGCCATATCCCACCCTTCAAACCGAAACACAGCCATGCAAACACAACTGCTTCACGCTAGAAACACGAATGGGACAGAGGTACCCAAGCAAACGACTTTTGTACAAAGTCTCCCTCTGGTGAATTTATTTAACAACCCTTCAAAAATATCATAAAAGGCCCCTCTCTCTGTGAGCTTTATTAGCTGATGAGGGGTGTCTCAAATGATAGGATATTATTAATTAGACTTGTTTGTCAACTCTCAGCCAGAGGCTTTGAAATCTAACGATTTGTACTTTGATACCATTAGTTTGGCGGTTCCTGAGTATGGTTTATTCCAATGGAACTTAATGAAAATGTAAACAAAATAATTGAACTACTAGGTACATGGTAAAATTGCCGTACTGGTCAGATACATGCGGACAGCGGCCGGCAAAAGTTATATGAAAATCCATATCTGTCGTGTTTTGCGGCCAGATAAATTACTATGTAAACTCATGTCTGTCCTGTAATTTAAAAATGGAATGACCTTTTACTTCGAAACATGACTACCAAGGAGGTAACTAATAAAAGGTTTTATTTAAATTTCGAATTGGCTTGCAAATAGAAGCTGTTTATTGAAAAAAAAAACAGAAACATTATGGCGCCTGAAAAATTATTATTATTCATTATTGGTCATTGAACTTAAAAAGTAAAATTGTGTTTATGATTTCCGCGCATTGTTTGAGAAAAGTACTATACAAACCTTGGCCACAACTAGGCATTGATGGACTCACGTATGTGTGCCTCGGCTACGCCTCGGCCCACATTTGCACGTTCGTCCATCAATGCCTCAGTTACTGGCCGCTGCAGTAATGTACTATTAATATTACTGTTAGAAGAGAACAATGTTAAGAAAATCACAAAAAAATAATGAATCATGAATTATGAATGTACTATAATCGTCACCATTCTAAGAGGTTATTAAAGTGAGTTTGCATTACACCACGGAATTCGGTTACAACTATTCATTTGCTCGCGTTCGTACTGCATAATTGCATTGGTTTCACGATGGGAACATTAATGCGTTTTATATGTTAGATGCACTGACATTATTTATTTATTTATATAAACTTACAACTTTACTTGTAATTGTTTGCGCGTTTCCTTAATTTTATATATTTTTAAAGAATATTATTATAAATTTATTCTTATTAATAATGACTTATATGCTAGTTCAATAATAATAATAATAATAATCGGTACCTAGTGCTAAATTCATTCCCCTTGATCCTATCCTATCCAACCACCGTCATCGTCTTTACCTCCGAGTTAGAACAACCAATGAAGACGCTGGAAGATTATAAGAAACTTCAGAGCTGTCTTCAATCTTAACCGTCAACGTGACCTTCGCAATCGACGAGCAACTACGTATAAAAAATATTAATAACATTGTTGTGCTGTATATGTGGTTACCGCTTTCATAATTTGAAGTGCTGTGTTTGTAGACAATATTGTGTTTGTACATTGGTGATAAAGTGACGGAAGGCATCAAAGGCGCCCGCACAGGCCATCATATGATACCCCACAACAAGACGGTGAGTCCTTATATCCTCATCGTTATCCCTGTTACACCTAGATTGGTCTCCTATAAAACCCACCAGTAATAAACAATCATCATCATCATCATCATGTCAGCCGTTAACTGTCCACTGATGAACATAGACCTCCCCCTATTGAGAGATTTTTCCCGTAGTTACAATGCTTGGCAGGCGGGTTGACAACTGCAGTTAGATTTTGGCGATATTTTATGAGAGATTCTACTGCCCATTCTTCGACCATCAAGTGCCCTTAGTTGCCCTTGAAGGCCTATTCTATACCGGAGCCACACTGTATAGAATATCATATAAAACCATAGAAAGTTATCCATTACACCTATTGTGTTTTATTTAGAAAATTCTATCTTATCTAAGTTTAAGAAACGCTATCTTTTTTATGCAACTTAGAATGGCAAACAAGCTGACGATCCGCCTGATAATAAGTGGTAACCGTCGCCTTTAGATATGAACAGTATCATGAACATAACAGAGTACTGTGTCACCCATGATACATCTCATACGTAGCCATTCCTAAGGACTAAAGTTATTATGCCTCTGTACCCTGTAACTTCACTGCCATAAAATGCCCTTCATGCCGAAAAATGAAAAACACACACAAGTGTTTTACGGCAGAAACTCGAATTTTGTTAGCTAATTTGACAATTAGCTGACAAAAAGTTGACCCATTTTTGAGGCTCGATCTATATAATCTAAGGGTATGGGATTCTAAAACTATAATAAGTACGCGACACCATAATCGGGCGCCCACTTGCCTCTTTAATATTCGAGCCGCGATCCCTCCTCCAGCACGATAATTTAATATCTCTTAGTTGCCAACATTGCTACTTGCAGACGCTGGCATGATATAAACATGTAGAACTTTCTAGAATAAAACTTTTACATATAAGGGAAACTAATCAGTTACAGTCTTGTCTTGGCTTAAGATTTTCGAGTCTATATACTCTTATTAACTTTTATACAAACCATAAATTATGGGAAATGAAATTTTAGCTTCCCATAATTTGTAGTTTATATAAAAATTACTAATTTTCATCCGGATTAGGTCCGCGTGACCGGGATATGTTTATTGACCGGGACAAAAAGCAGCCTATATCCTTTTTCCATTCCATGTAATATGTGAATACTAGATTTCATAGTGATTCGTTAAGCCTTTAAGGTGCTATAACGTAACAAATAAACGAACTCGGGGCCTCAGGGAGAGAAACCGGCGTACTATGCGGGTAGTATCTAAGAGCACCGCTTTCTGCACCTTTCCCGGGATTGAGCCGCCTCAGAATCCCAACCGTCTGAGATGTTGTTCCAGGCTGGTTGGGATAAGATCATAAAATTAACGTTAATCTAATATTAGAACACATAAAGTGTTATATATATATATAAAATATATTTTATTACATTATTTATAATTAATCTATTGTTCTCTTAGTTTGTTATTCGCACCAAGACATTTCCCTGTCACACATGTTAATTTAATATTTCCGAGTTGGCAACATTGAACTTGTAAACAATGTTGGTACGAAGTAAACAAATAATTAGGAAGCATGTTTTAACTTATTTAACAAACAAATATATTGTGAGTGTATGAATCTGTGACAATTTCCATTAATAAATAAATAAGTAACAAACATAAGACTTATTGCACAGCGTCATCTAGTTCTGAATTATGAGAACTATATTAATTCTATTCTTACGATAGTAAAGTTGTCAATTATCGAG